CCCCAAACAAAAACCTTTACGTGGAAGATTAAATGTCATAGTTAACCTTTTCGTCTCCAGGTTTCTCAAGAATTTTTCTGCAGAAGTTGTTTAAAGCGTCAAAACGAATTTCAGTTTCTTTTAGCATCAATACATCCTATTCACCGTTTTATTTATATAGCTGACCGGAAGCCTTCGAGAGAAAGACATAGGATAAAGAAAACTTTGACCTTACCTGCTCCCTATGTGCTCGCAGCCAGAAAAAAAAAAAAAAAAAAAGAAGGGGGTGTGGGGAGAAGTCATTCACCACTTTGCCAGAGACAGTAGCCTCTCTACCTCATAGGTACAGCCGTACTGGGTCAGGTCTCTGTACACACTGGATACATACAAACAGTATTACCATTTACTTAGGGTTTGGAGGGTTTTCCGCCCCTGAAGGGGCTCATGAGAGAATAGCGGGTCAGACAGCGGGGAAAAAAAAAAAAAAAATAGAAAAAAAGGCGAATTTTTCTCAGCTTTGCTCCCGACACGGCCATGAAAGGACTGAAATTCTTCAGAAGTCACTCGGTCTGTACCTCTAGGTCCCCTTTGTAAAAGCAGCCGCCACAAGTTGGACCGGGTCTGCTTCCCAGTGAGGCCCCTCTACCTGCGCTCCGCCACGAAACTCCTAAATTTTTTTTTTTTCCCCTCTGTTTTTCTCCCCCCTCCCTGTGGCAACTTCTCTTGGTGTCATCTCAGAGCTGTCTCCGATTACACTGTTTGGGATCTGCACTTTGAGCACTATCTTAGGGCCCTACACTGCTTTTTGAACCGAGATGCAGGCAATATAGGTGTAGATCAGCTCCCCATCTCTGTATGTCCCCCCCACTCCTCTTTCCGCAGGAGTGGCCCCAGCTCCCCTCTGCTCCATCAACAGCAGGTACAGGCCCCAGCTGCGCAGCCTCCCCCGAGCATTTCCTTCCAGTATCCCTGATGCTACCAGGCTACTGTGACAAAATGAAAAACTAACCCAAACCCACCCCACAACCCGTTTTGTTATGAAACAGCAAATATGAAGAAGTCTTTTGCCATTGTTGCTGTTGTGGTGGTGGTAGTGGCGATAGGGTTTTATTGGTTTTTGGGTTTTGTTTTTTGGTTGGTTGTTTCTTTTTTTTTTTTGCACAGCTTGCTGTGCCACTACACGCACACTTCATGGCACTCAAGCATGAACTCCTATTTACAGCAGGGAATAAATGCCCTCCGCGTTTCTCCTACGTTTGGAGGCAGTGCCAGGGAGTGGGGAAGCAGGAGGGCATAGCCATCCTGCACCAGATCCCCTCTCTCCAAAGACGGGCTGCTCACCGTCCCACGTCGATAAAGCAGTTGTTACACGGAGAAACTTGCATTTCTTCCATCATTTCAGATTTTAAACATGCTGCCCCTCCCCTTCGCCATCCCATTATCCAAGTTCTGCATTGATTACCAGGAGACTGAAAATCAGCGTATTGGAAGAAGCAGGAGTTTAAACGGAGGCGTATACTCTAATTTAGACAAGCTGTACAGTGACTAAATTCTTGTGAGTGTTCTCAAGGGACACCGGAGATTAAAATGTATTTACAACCCATCCACCCCCGAAATATCGTAATCCCAACCAAGGCATAACTGGTTTATACAAAGAATTTTATGATAAAAGGCAACAACACAATGTCATAAAAAAAACCTATAAAATTGTTAAAGAGCAGTTGTTTGCATTTCTCCTGATTGATATGTAAATACAGTTTGAACTGTGTTTGCTCGGTCTCTAGTGCTTAATAAAGAGATGAATTCACCTTTCTGTGGAACAAGTAAATAGACTTTAAACTAAGCCGACATCAGACAAAGTGGAAACGAGTTTATTTAATCGAAACTAAATCTAGTTTAAGAAAGATAAGTCAGTGTACATAATAATCCATTACAGTAATTACACCCACCACCAAATATGTGTTTATGAGGTTGTCAAGACACAATAAAATTCATTTATTTCCCTCGAAGTCTATAATGAAAAGTCACTGGCTGGCTCTCTATCGAACATGCTAACTCCAATATTGCGGGGGAGGAGGGAGATACTATTTCTCGGCTCTATTAATGCCTTTCAGTGCTCCTCACTTTTGAAAGTTCCTGTATTTGGAAGGATACGAACGTTAATTACATCTGAAGGGGAAATGTCGACTTAACCACAGCACTTTCCCCTCCGTCTTGTACATTAACTCCGGGAGAAACTAACCTTCACTTAAAAAATCCGTAGACTTAAGCCTGCCCTCGCTCCCTCAATGGGAGCTGCAGCGCTGAACCACGGACATTCCCAACACTTCCTTTATTTAGCAGAAATAACAGCACTAAGCTCTAGATGCCTCCCGCCATCCTTCACATGGTGCCATAGATCTGAAACGAGTATTTTGCGTAGAGAAAGAAAGAAAAATAAATCAAGGCATATCCTTTAGGTTAGTTGGGAATGTCGCTGCATAAAGCATGACATAGTATAAAGAATGAAAGGTCTCGAAATTCCTGTTGACACACGTGATGTTCTCCAGTTAGAAGTAAAGGGGGGGGGGGGCAGAAAGAATCCGATAATATTTTTTTTTTTTTTTCCTTTTTCTTCATCCAGACTAGCACTTGGTGTCCGAGTATCACAGCTATCTTAGATAAATGAAAGACTGGAGCTTTCGAAATCTGCTACTTAAACTGGAGGTTGGGATGTTTCAATCCCGGACAAACTACTTGCTTTCTCTTCAAATATACGAGCATTTCATAATACCTCTGTAATTCAGGGGTTTTTCAATGACCGCGATATGCTCCCTTGGTTTAACTGACGGGGTCTGAGTCGGGGGAGGAGGGGGGAAACAAAACCAAACCAAAACCAAACCAAACCAAACCAAACCAAACCAAACCAAAAACAAATAAAAAAAAAAAAAACCAACCAAAATAATAAATATATGCATATATATTAAAAAAAAAAATAAAAGAGCAGCAGACGCGAAGGAGAACACGCTACGAAGTCCCTTTTAGGATGGGGGACTTCTTATTCTGTTACACTCATGAAAGGGATATTTGGGACCCGAAAGACAGCGAACTAAGCGTATTTCGAGCTTGTCCGATACGAAGTGCTTAACTTGATAAGCTTTATATATTTATAGCAAAGTTAAAATCTAACTGCCTCGCATTGCTCACAATATTCACCTTCCTACCAACCGCCCCTTGGTGTCTCAGCCGGTCGCGTACCTCGTTCACACGCACACAAACACGCACACGTGCACACACACGCACTTTCTCCTCAACTGCTCCTTCACAATCTTCCCAAATGGCTACACACGCAAAAAAAAGCCCCAAACCCCAAGCAAAGCCGATGTCCATTGGCCTGGGGTGCAGCCTGCAGCTGACCTCTCACCGGGGCAGTGAGGGGGAGATGTGCGGGAGGAGCTGCGTGGTCGTGTGTGTGTGTCTGCGTGCCTGTGTGTCTGGGTGTGCGTGCTTGCAGGGCTGGGTATGTGCAGAAAATTAAATGCAGTCTGATAAAGAAAGTTAATTCAAACTACATGTCGTACGCAATAAACTATCTTTTTATTTTGATTATAAATAAGGTGACTGTACTTCCCTTAAAATACAAGCACATAGGAAAACCTGGTAGAAAATTTTTTTTTTCTTCTTTTTAACACGGTATTAAAACTGGACGCTCTTTAAATCGGCCGCATGTTCTATACTGTCAGCAGGTTCTTCGTTTATTTGTTTCTAGTGGCGTTAGACTTTTACCTTCTTTCTCCTCCGTGCCTTTGGCATTTGAATTTCTACTCTTGGAATACTTTGCTTTCTCTAGCAAGGAGTCTCAGAGGTGGCCCTCACCCCTCACCCTCCCAATAATCGGGCTAATGAATTTGGACTCGATCCTTTTGCTCTCGAGTTTGCGAATCCCACGCATTTGCTGGTCACTTTTGCAGGCTGAGGACTGAGCCTGTATCCTGTTTACTCCCTGTCGCAGCTCCCCTTTGGGACCAAGGGCCAGGCCCCGGGGGGGTGGGGGCCTCTCAGGGTTTGGCAGCATACCCGGGGGTTTCCATCAATCAAAAAAGAAAAAAGGAATGGGCAAAGAAAAAAAAAAATATGCGGGGGAGGATCAGGAGGGGGAACCAAAGGGAAATAAAAAAAAGAATATTCGTAATGTGTATAATTTATTAGAAGCTTCTTAGGAACTATACTTAAGCCAAATATCTACATAAGTTACAACAGGAAAAGGCGGCGTGCGCAAATAACAAACTGCCAGAGGATTTACGACGGGGCGATCAGTGTCCATAAAAAAGGTAGGGGTTGGTTTGGTTGATTGTATTTTTTTTCTTTTTCTTTATACAACAAAATATGCAGGCTACTAAAAACTATGGGTTTAGTCCAACTTTTGACAGCATTATACAGCTACAGGTTCACATCAAACGTAAGGAGGAAAATAAAAGCCAAGCCTTTGATGACTCCACGTCTCCATCCGCTGGCCCTGGCGGCGCGGCTGCCAGAGGAGACCGGGACGGGGGACGGGGGGGGGGGGAAAGCTGCTTCTTGTGTCTGGGTGACGCGAATGCGTTTTTCTGGGGGGGAAACCACCCCATCCCCCCAAATCTCTATATTTACATGCAAGTCCTAGACGCTGGCAAAGGGTACATCTGAAATTCAAGCCTTCGGACCATGCCTAACTATGGTCCCCTTTCTGCAGACTGCTCCGTAGTTATTAGTCAGAATTTTTTTAACACCCCATACAACAATATTGGGGGGAAAAAAATGAGCACCCAAAACCATCAAGAGTAACAATAAAACCGAACAAAACCCCAAGTCTCTCTCTCTCTCACACTCTTAGAGGTCCTCAGAGAACCACGCAGGAAAGTGAAGGGAGGTGGGGGAGCGTTGAAAAGGGAGGAAAAAACCCCAAACAAAAACAAAACAAACAACAACAAAAAAAGACACCCAGTAGTTTGGACAGGACAGAGATCTGTGTGACTGGGAAAATCTGCCTTTTTTTCCCTTTCTCTTTTTCCCCTTTTTTTTTTCTTTTGCTCTGTTTAATCCTTTTACCAGGTCCTACCGTATAGCAAGGTGGAGCAAGACATGGCAGTGCCATAGTCAGAAGTAGAAGAGTTTAGGTGAGACAAACTGGAGACTTGGCTCTGCAGAGAGGACGGGCTGGCCGAGTGCTGTCCCATGTCTGGAGACTGCCCCGCACTGTTTGTCTGGTGGCTCTGATGCTGTCCGAGGCTGTTGCCATTGGTAGCCACCGTGATCGTTGTAGCAGCCTGCTGCTGATGGCTCTGGATAGCTGCTGTGGGTGTGTTGGAGCCTGCTTGGCAGGGCTTGCCATCCTTTACAAGCACTGGCACCGCCACCCTTCTGGGAGACTGCTGCTGCTGGCAGGAGCCGTTCTCCTGTTGCATCTGCTGCTGCGCAGCCTTGTCTTTGGCCTGGCGTTTCATCTTGTAGCGGTGGTTCTGGAACCAGATTTTGACCTGAGTAGGGGTGAGATGTATCATGCTGGCTAAATGTTCCCTCTCCGGGGCGGAGAGGTATTTCTGCTGCTTGAAACGTCTCTCCAGCTCGTAAACCTGGGCCTGGGAAAAAAGGACCCTCCGTTTCCTCCGCGGCGTGCTCTGGAGCGGGGCCATGCTCTTGCTCACGTCTCCCAGAGAGCCGAGGCTGCCCATGCCGCCCATGTTCATGCCCGAGGACGGCGCCATGAAGCGGGAGACTGCAAGGGAGAAGGCGGCACGGTTTAGGCGGCTCGGCTCAGCCCGGCCCGGCACGAGCAGGGCCCCGCGCTCCAGCGGCACCGACCGCCGCTCGCCCCCGAGGGGGACCGCAGCCCCCCGGCAGCCCAGCCCCAGCCGGGTCCTCGGGACGCCCAAGCTCTCAAACAACGACCGGCGTCCCCGGGGAGAACGGCGGGCAACTGGACCCCTCCTCGCCCGACTCAACCCCGGTGAATAAAGGAGACCGCTCGCCCTTCGCCTTGCCCGGGGGATGACACCCGAGCAAGTACAGAGGTGACAGCGGGGAGGAAGCTCCCGGGAACAGGGGCTCCGCTGACGCCTGCCGGGGCGAACTCGCCCGCTCCCCTCCGCGCACTCGGGACGCGGCTCCCACGGCTCCGGCTTCCTTCCTCGCCCGCCCGGTGCCGGACGGCGCGCAGGAGGACGGGCACCGCGGTCTCCCTCCCGGGCCCGGGGTCTGGGCCACTGCTGCCCCGCTGGACGGCGAGCCCCAAGATCCGTCTCCGCGCCGCTGCGGGGTATCCTGTCCCCTTCCCCGTGCAAAAGCAGCCCCGGGCAGCTGACATGAAACCAGCCGGGGTGAAGGGACCAGGCACAATCCTCGGGCAGAAGGAGGAATTGAGGGGGCAGCGGTGGGTGGGTGGGTGGGGACGGACAAGATTTGGACAGACTTTTGCCCTGGTGCGGAGTCCCCGGCGCCCATCTCCCGCGGTGCTGCGGGGCAGGTGCGCGGCCACCCCCCGGCGCCCACCCAGCCGCGGGCTGACCTTACTTGAGGAGAAGCGGGGGTCCGGGTTGGTGCCGTACCATCCTGTCGCCGAAGCGCTGTTCCGCATGGTGTCCTGGTAAGGCGGGAGCTCGCTCATGTTGCCCAGGTTCCCATTGCAGTAGCCCCCCATCGTGGCATGGGAGAGCTGGGGGACCCCTGCCGCTGTCATATGGTAGGCGGCAGTCACTGTTCCGTTGTGGCCCATGGGGTGCTGCTGCATGGCCGGCTGAGAAACCTGAGACTGTCTGTAGGCTGACAAGGGAGCCCCCAAGTTACTGCCCTCCATGCCCACTTTCTTGTAGCTTTCCTCCAAAGGACTCAAGATGTCAGACACTGAGAAAGGAGTCGTATGCTTTGGGCTCATCGACATGATTCGGCGGCTGGGAAAAAAAAAAAAAAAAAAAAAGGAAGGGGAGGCAAATCTTTTTTTTTTTTTTTTTTTTTTTGCCAAATATTCTGGTGTTGCCTTAACGCCGATCTTGTTGGATGTACACGTAACCGAGTGGACGAAGTCCGCCTTAATTGGATTGAGTGGAGGCTCAGGGCTGCCTTTCGTTTGTTTTAGCCAGACGCCAGGTTTTAGGCTGCCACCAGAGGCGGGGCATAGGCACTAAAGCAACAAGACAATAGAAGCCTACATCTTGCCCAAGATAATTAGCTTACATGCTGATGACAAGGTAAACACCTTTAAGTTTTCCTTGTCAGGATTTATTTTTTTTTTTAATGTCTTAAAAAAGAGAGAGAGAAAGGGAAAAGGAGACAGACCCCGTGAGCACGACTCGCTTTATTTTTCTCGGGGGTGGCAATATCGTGGATGGGAAATGGAAGGCAAGGCAAAATGACCCCCGTTTGGCGGGGTGAAAGGATTTTAAAATAAGCTCCCGGGTGGCAAGGCTGACAGCCCAGCCTTTGTGAACGCTAGGGAGACGGGGCTGAATGCCGGTGAGCTGCAGGATTGAGTCCCCTTCTCTCCCGTGAAGCCGGGTGGCGGCAGCCCCGCCGCCGGGCAGGCAGCTCCCCGAGTGCAGCCGTCTAGCCCGGGCCGCGGTCCCAGCGCTCAGCACTCCCCTCCCCGGCTTGTCGGGTCCCCCGGCCGGCTGGTGGCTGAAGAGCTCATGGGATTCAGCATCTCGAGAACCTTTCCTGTATCTGCTAAGACCACCAGGGCGAGACCCCCAGGGCGAGGATCGCTTGTCTCCCTAAAGCCATCAGTTCTGTTCACCTAGGGATTTTTTAATTTAAACTCATGGAGAGGAGGAAGATGCAGGTTTCCAAAAGCAAGCAGTAAAATTAATAGCCTGGGACGTGAGACTGTTGAAAAATAGGTTAGCGCAATATGTTGCTCGTTATTCTCAAAGGCAAAGACTGCCACAGTCTCTCGTGGTCCCTCTGAACCTGAAGCTGCTTTCTAAGGTTATTTATACAGCATGGGAGCTGGATGGAGAAGACCTCTCAGGTCATCTGCTACGCGACCTTGCCAATGAATTCCCTGCAGTTTCGAATAAACTGCAATTTCTGGCACTTTCTGATCTGCTCCCGGATCCAGTGTAGAAACAAAAGCAAGCCCCTTCACAGACGTCGTTGTTTTCCCCCTCCCAACCCCACCCCTCGTAAAGGCAGCGGCTGCTAATGTCACTCGGGTCTTTGAAGAAAACTCCCAAGTTGTCTAATGTCTCCAAAGCTTCTATTTCGGGGTGTTCCCGAGCAGGGGAGAGAAACCTCCCCTGAGTGTTTCAAACCCCGGCTTACGGCCCTGGCAAACCCAATTTAATACAGCAATTACCTGAATTATTAAGAAAATTACAGCGAAAGTACAGTTAACCCAGTGACTTCGAAGTGTCAAGTAACTGTTTAGTAATGGCACTTGTAAATATGTTTGTGCTCGGCTGGTTCGTGCTTAAAAATGCAAAAGTGCACTTGCTACCCGGGAATAACTAAATATCTTTGTCTAAAGTGGCAGCATAAATAGCCGGTCGCTTTGTAACTGTGCTTGATATCAGTACATAAGGATCATTTTGCTTCAATTGGGAGGCTCTCATTCACTAGGCAAGAAACCGTTTAGGAGAAAGTAGGTTCCCGTATGAGAGTTAACATCCTTCAAGTGTAAGCCTCTGCCTTGATTGCACTTTAGAGCTCTGCAAGAGGTGAGCTTTTCCACAAAAATATAATCGGGGGAACCTTCTTTCAATCAGGCCTCCAGCTTTCCAACATCATCTCAGCCACCTCTTTCGGTACCAGCTTTCTCAAGGCTGAACACCCCGAAGTGGGCTCGTTGTGAGTCCGCTAGGTCACTTTGGGTGACTTTGGGCTAGAAAGGCTGCTGCTTTTACCTCTTTCCTGTTTTATTTCCAGATCTTTAGATCTTGCCTTTCCACATCCTGCAATATTTCTCACCCTCACCCCCGCCCCGCGTCTCATTTTTTCCCCCATTTCTGCGGGTGTTTTTCAAAACCGTCTTTGGGTTTGTTCCTACAGAGAGACACTCGACCTTGCTTTGGTGGTTTGGTGTTATTTTTTCCTGTTCCTTTTCCCCAGGATTTCTCAGGCACATCAGTTCCGTATCTGTTTTATTACCGTTAAAAAGGAGGGTGTGAATGGAGGGGGGGGGGGGGGAATACCACAAGATCCACCAAAATTGCACTGTTGTCGGCTCAGAGGCGAACGACAGCAACTGACCGCGCAATATGCGGGGCAGCGACTCCGTTTCTCCCCCGAGAGTGCGAGGTGAGGAGACCCCAGAGGCTGTTCTGGAGGCGAAGAGCAGGGAGGCGGAGGGGGTGGGTGGGGAGGGTCCCCGCCGCCCGCCCGCTCCTTCCCGGGGGGCGCTGCCGGAACGACACCGTTCACCGCCTGCCGTGGCTGGGGGAGCATAGTTATCCTGGCGCTGGAGTGAGCGTAGGTTAAACCGCCTCCGAAGCACTGCTCAGTTAGATGAACCTGGGGAGTCTAGCTCTGGCTGCTCGAGGTCCAGTAAAGCGAAGTTAATACAAGAGCCCTTCATGTCCCCTTCGTGGGGAAGAGGGCTGGAATTCTCTATGTAGCTCTGACCGCTTCTTTAGGAACATACCGACGAGCGAGGTCCCGACGGCACTTTTTAGCCCCGCTAGACTGAGCTAGCGGCAAGGAAGCAGGTCAAATTCTGCTCCCCCTTTCCCGTCCCAAACCAGCTATACCGGGGTGAGTCAAACCGCGGACAACTGGCCAAACTGCTTCGCTGCTGCCCTTGTCCAGTTCCCTTCCCCTTCTCTTTGAAACCCTCCACCTAAGTTTGTCCTGCCAGGGCTATCTCTCTGCAGTCCCGGGAGGGTCTTGCCTAGGCTGCCTCTGCTGATGTGTTCGTTTACCTGGTGCTGCTGCTTAGTAAAATGCTAGAGTTAAAAAGAAATGCTAAGGAGAAGAGCAAGGCAGATGAGATGCGTTTTGCCTGGTGGAAGCATTTTCATGAGAAAGGCACGGTCTTCACCCCGTGTTTGCAGAAATGCGGTTACACGGACGTCCCTTCAATAGCTTCTGACCCCACACAATCCGTTTGATAACACTCGAGAGGTGGAAGAATGGGAGACTTTGTCAATCAAATGGTGCCAATCCCAATGGAAACGGTGCCACCAAGACCGCAGCGCGTTTCCTCATCAACTGGATTGCGGGGGCTGGGAGCTCAAGGATCAGCTTTTGAAAGTGCGCACAGGGCTCTCCAAAGACAACAATGTCTTTTTTTTTTATGCGAGCTGCTGTGCCTCCCTAGGGGGAATCGAATGTGCTCGACCAGCCAGAACTGCCGAAGGGCTCGGAGGGGAGAGTCCCACGCAACCGGCGGGCGAATACTTTCTCAACCAGAGAGACACTTTCTAGGCGTAACTTTTTGATACAAAGGCATGAGGTGTTCCATGCTCTCCGTGGGCCGATTCACGGGTGCGTTGCTGGCACCCCTGCCCTACCCTTCCCAGCCCTGCAGCCCAGCTCCCGCTGCCGAGGGGGCGGCCCTGCCGCAGCCCTGCAGCCTGCCCTGCTGTGAGAGAGGGGGTCGGCGGGCTCTGCCGTGTGGCCAGCAGCTCCTAGAGAAGTCTGAGTTAAAGGGACAAAATCAGAGCTGGGACAGAACTCTTTTCTCCTGGTCATCAGCACAACTCTAATATTCAAATAGAGGTTTAAATTGTCCTCCCAAAGATCCGCACCTGGAAAAGGGGCACCACCGCGCAGCTTGCTGCAACTCTTCACTCTCGGCCCACCCCTTAGCCAGCTCATAGAAACTTCATCACTGATTTCTTTTGCATGTCGGCGTTACACACTTCCTGTCACCTTAGCCCCCCTCCCCAAATGGAAGATGTGCCCAGCATACCGCTCCCTGAGCCCACGCAGAGACGGAAGGAAGGAAGGAAGGAGAGGAGGTTTCCCCAGTGAGCGAGCAGTGTGGCCAGATGCCGCCGCCACTGGCGGCCGCGGACAGGGTGCTGGGAGCTGCTCCCTGCCTGGACAGCACATGCTGGGGTGTGTAGGGCAGGAGCTCTGCCCAGACACGCTTCCTGAAAGCGCTCCCTTGGATTTCTTGCTGTGGCTCATGGGGACAATTCTGTGGGACACTCCCCCACCCCCCCTACCCCCCGCACTAGTTATCTCTTTCGAGTGGGAGAAATCCCTCAGTACATGGGTCGAAATCTCTGCCCCTTGCGTGCGAATCAAAGAAAACAAGCGAAGCCATCAAAAGCTAAAGCGCCAAGTCCTCACCCCTCTGCAGCGCACGCACAGTTGCTCCTCCAGCTGCTCAGGGCGTGGAGCATCTCGCATCTGGGGTTCCTCGGGGGCCCTTCCCCACCCGTGACCGGCGGCCCCGCTCGCGAGGTCCCGTGCGAGGGCAGCGCTGCCTCCTCGCAGCTCGTTTCCCTCCTTCCCCAATTCCTGGCAGACGACTGAGCCCTCCTGACCTAATCCTCAGACATTCCCCCCTCCCCCGCTTTTCCTTCGCCGGCCCGTTCCTGGCCAAGAGGACCAGGGTGGGGCCAGGTGCGGGGTGCCAGGGAAGGGCTACCGCCGCCGCCGTGCCAGGCGGGGGGGCCCGGGCACGCCTCGGCCCGGAGGCCGCACCGCGCCCTCCGAGGCTGCCCCGCCTGAGGACCGGGGAAGCGCTGGGTGCAGGCTCGGGAGCCCCAGGACCCGGGGGTGGGTAGCAGCAGTGCTCCCGCCGATGTGCCTTGAAGTGTCGCCTGACCCCCATCCCCATCCTGGTATTGTTAATATCAGCAATTGGTATGTTCTCTACATCTGGCTTCCTTCCCTTAGTGTTAGCAGACTGCCACCTTCACACTATTACTACAAATACAAGACTCAGCTTGCCCCGAAGCGTCTTTGATACACCCGAGCCAGGGGTGATTTCTGCTGGAAGATGGTTGTTGAGACAATTTGCCAAAAGTTTTATAAAGATAGTGAAAAGTTTTACATAGATATAAATACATACATAAATACTTTTTATCAGTAGATACACAGTCCTGCCGGGATCCATCTGTTTATCTGATTTTAGCTCTAGCTGTCAGTATATTACATTAGACAGTTAAGGAGTTATGTGCTTTTGTATGTACATCCAGAACGTCCCTGCACACATTCACACACGTGCGTAAGGCGCATACCTCCGGCAGCGGGTATGCATGAGTATATATTTACTCATACGTTCACAGCCCTCACCCCTGTCGTCTCTATTTCAAAAAGCAACTTAGCTTTTAAGAGGGTCACCTCGCCGTCCTCCCTTCCTTACCCTCACCCTCCCGCGGCTCCGCCGGGGCCCAGGGCGGTTCCTGCGCTGGCAGTTGTTTCGCCAGGCCCGCGGCCACGCCGGCGCCGGGCTAAGGGGCTCTCGGCTCCGGGATCCCAGTTGGGGCTGGACGCGGAGGGGACGGACACGTGTGTGGTGTGCCTGTGGATGCAGGGCGGCGGGTTGATTTACCGCGGCCCTTTTCGGCAGCAGGCTTCAGCGTGGCTGGCAGCGGCTGGCGGGGAGAGCGCACGTTGCTCAATGCCCCCTGCTTTGGTCTGGAAGACACCCCCCTTGCTCCCGGCCTGCCCCGCCGAGGGGCCGGGGGAGCTGCAGCCTGCCCTGGGCGTGCTGCGAGGCAAGGGCTCCGCAGCCTTCCGCGCCCTCGGGGCTCTGCGGCCGGCGCACGGCCTCCGTCCGGGCCCGCGGGTCCCGAGAAGCCGGCGGCCCGGCGTCGGAGCGCTCCCCTGCGCCCGCCGGGAGTACGTGCGCTGGCGGGAAGGCGACCTTTCCCCCTCGACCTTTCCCTGGGGGTAACCAAAGCTCCCTTTTATTTTCAATTTCACTTCGGAGTTTGCCTTTTGTTCCCCGCTACCTCTCGCTTCCAGGGATACGCGCGGCTCCCCGCTGGCTCGGGGAGGGGCGAGTGGTTGCAAAGATACCTCATTTAAAAACGACAATGGAGCCCTTTCGACCAGCACGGGTGGTACCCGAGCTTTATTTTCGGGCTGGGGGGAAGGGAATTGTTTGCTTTGCTTTTATTTTCACGGCAAAACTCGAAGGAAGTTACTGGAGGGTTGCGAGGAGTTACGGTCCTTCCTTGTTGCCTCATTGCTCCAGAGTACTGGGCCGAGCCACCCAGCCGAAGGCCAGCACACCCGCCGGCATCCCCACGGCGGCCTGGGAACCCGCGCAAAGTGACCGGGTCTGTCCGCAGCCGCCCTGATGTAACTGACTTTGGAGTGACCGAGTGCTCCAGTCGTTGTCCCTAAATCCTTCTCTGCATCCCCTCTTCTCGCCACTCTCTGCCTTGGTCTGAGTTTCCCAGGGGGCTTTAATTCGGAAGGAAGCTGCCAGCTGCCCCGTTGTGCCTTTGGCTTTGTTTTCTTTTCCCTTTGGCAAGGGGAACCACTGTAAGTGGGGGAGCTCCTTTTGAGCTCCCGCGGCTCCGACCGCCCGCCTTGCACGCGGAGGGACGCTCGGAGGCCGGACCCTGCAGGCCCTGGTGCGGAGGCGACCGACCCGCAGCAGCCTCCGCTGGCCGCCGAGGGAAGTGCAGCGCAGGGCCCAGGGAGCGGCGGCGGGTGGGCTCCCCTGGTCCAGCTGGCCTGCTGCGGCTGCTGTTGAAGTCTTCCCTAACCAGGACGCAAACGAATACACGAGGAAACGGAATGGGATCTTGCTTAGTCATCATCGTAGGAGACAGATGTAATTGCGTGGATATTCGTCCCTCCTCACAGTGCATTGCTCCAGATCTAGAGGGAAGGGTTGGCTTCTTCTAATGTTACTGCAGCTCCCCATCAACACCCTCCATTAGACGTATCTGAGTGGGATTCTTTCCCTTCTCTGGGAAAGTATCTGCAATTCACCTGTTACTGGATCAAGAGAAGCTGTTTAATAATTTGTGCCCATTCCAAGTGTTTGCTTTTGAGCACCACAGTCAAACAGTTTCAAATTGTACTCTTGACAGATCATGGTCACGTACAAAGAAATTCTTGCTCAAAAACTGCCTGTTGGGACTGACTCTGCCTTTTCCCAACCAGCTTCCCACCCTTGAGCCTGTACATCCCATAAGGGCTGAGCTTAGTGTCCAGTCTGCAGGAGCAGCCTGATTGCCGATGTTCTTTTCTGAGTGGGGGGGGTGAATCTGCTGTGCCACTGGGGGCTGAAGTACTCAGATGTAATGCTGAGACAAGTAAGTGAGATGGCCTGGTAGGGCCAGACTGACCCAACTGGTCACAGTTAGTGGCAGGTGGATTTGTTTGTTTCTCATGTGAGCTTTAAAATCAACATTTCCCCTTGAGTCTTGAAATGAAAAAAAAAACTCAATTTACTCTGCCTTGATTTCCTTCTGTTCCTTCCATGGGAGGGAGGACACAGGTTTCCTATGCAAAAAGGACCATTTTAGAAGCCCAAAAGCAATTCTAGGGATGTTTCAGAAGTCTCCTTTTCAATTCATGGGAGCCAGAGTCTCTGGGAAGATCATGCCCTCAGTCTGGCTAGTACAACTGGTAGGTCTAGTTAAAAGCTGATGTAAAAAGCTGCAGCACAAAGGAAGCCATTTGTAGGGAAACTCAACAATGAACTTTATTGGTCCTGCTACCAAACCCATTAAAAAAGCTATACACTCTGCAGCATTGTTTCCAGGTCTGGGTTTTGTTAACCAGCCACTGACATATATATGGCCCAGGATGCTGATATAGCAGGTGCATTCCTCTTGCTAGGAAAGAGTTCATTTCAGTTGCCAGTTTAATCTAGTTCAGTTTCTAGGTACCATCCTTCAAGAGTTTCCTACTGCAAATAGGGTCTCTAAAATTCATTGTACAGTGGGCTGTATGCGTGACATACACATGAGGGATGCTCTGCCATGAGACCTGTGTGCCACAGAAGGAATCTGACTATCCGGACAACAGCTCACATCACCTTTAAGGCAATGGAGAGACATCCTGGAGGCCAGATCAGGCTCCATCAGTTGGACTACTCTGCAATGCTGTATCTTTGAAAGAGTGCTGCAAAGCCAGTGTATGTGGCTCACTCACTCCAACACCAATGGCACCCGTATTGCCCTACATAGCTATGGAAGCAGAGCCTTTCTATTTTATGCAAGAAATGGAGACGATGATTAGTGTATTACAGCCATCTGTAATACTGAATTACTACTGGGACCAATAGGTACAATGGGTGTTTTTTGTTTGGTTTTCGCTCTGACATTCACTCTGCCAAATACGTTTGTTAATAGAAGCTGCACAGTGCATAGGATTGATCTGCCGGGATATTTCTCTTGCCAAGGATGGTGAAGGTGAAGCAAAAGATTCATCAAAGTATTTCACCTTTTCCTACTCCTAAGAAGAATGGGTAGCTTGGAAAAGAAAGGACCCAGTTGGAAAGGGACTTTTTACCCACTCCTGCAGTTATGTGAAGAACAGAACTGCTCCTAAATGAGCTTCTTTTATTGTAATCAACTTATACCCTCATCTTCATCTGTTTCCCCCAGCAGCAACCTTTCTTCCCTTTGGACATTTTATTGATACATTGATTAGGATTCTTTGGCTCTCCTATTACTAGGGTATGGGTAGCATGGTTCCGCTTGCAACTGAGTGCTGACCAAAAGGTTTTACAAGTATGACAAAAGATGAGCTCAGCCTTGCAAAGTTCAGCTTGAGGTTCAGCTGGGTTGACCGAGACTTGGAAAACAAAAGCAAAGTGTATTTGTACTGTAAACTAAAAAATGCACCCCAGAAGTTTCTAAAGGTCCAGAATTATTTTATCTTTGCATTAGAACAGCACTTTCTATTCAAATAAAAATCCTAAAACATATGCTAAAACAAGTCCTTGCTAGCATCTCAATATTATGTTTTCCCAGACATCAGTCATTATTAGCATTCTAGTGCATAAGAGTCTCCATGTAACAAGGACTATCTTCTAAATGACTTTGGATGATAGACATAATGAAGTTAAAAATTTCACTCATCTTTGCCCTGTCATAAATGAAAGCACATATTATACTCATTCAAAAAATAGCTAACCATAGAGTTAGGTTCAAGTTACATTTTCAATGTAGAAATGTTTATG